AATGGCAGGGCAGGGCGGTGGCCAGCAGGGCGGCACACGGGTAGGGCAGGGCGGTGCGGCGGCCAGCAAGGCGGCGCGCGGGCAGGGAAGGGCAGCGTGGCGGCCAGTAGGGCAGCGTGGCGGCCGGTAGGGCAGCGTGCGGGCAGGGCAGGGCGACGCGCAGGCAGGGCATGGCAGCGCGGCTGCCAGCAGTGCGGTGCGTGGGCAGGGCAGGGCGATGCGCAGGCAGAGCAGGGTGGTGCGGCAGCCTGCAGGGCGGCATGCGGGCAGGGCAGGGCGACGCGGCGGCCAGCAGGGCGACGCGACAGGCTGGGGAGGGTGGCGCGCTACCAGTAGGGCGGTGCAACGGGCAGGGCAGGGCAGCACGCGGCCAGCAGGGCGGCGCGAAAGGTAGGGCAGGGCGGCGCGCGACTGGCAGGGCGGCGCGACGGGCAGGGCAAGGCAGCGCTCGGCCTGCAGGGCGGTGCGACGGGCAGGGCAGGGCAGCGTGCGGCCAGCAGGACGGCGCGATGGGCAGGGCAGGGCAGCTCGACTAGTGGGGCAGCACTACTAGCAGGGAACTAAGCGGTGGGCCCTAAAAAAACGGTCCTGGAACAGGACCTGCTCTGAAACCATGTCAAGAAACTGAACGAGAATTAAGGCATTGAGCAGAAAGTTGGTACAAGTACTAACCCTAATTGGGTTGTACCCTTTATGGGCTACCCCACTATTGCCTACACAATATAAGCATTATAACATTTTGACATTAGGTATATGTACCCCAACTCATAGTAATACACAGATCATTACGTTTCTTACATGGTATCACCTATGTTAGGATCCTGTTGGATCCCGTTCCTCTCTCTTGAGCCTCTCGCACTCGTTGCGCCTAGCCTACCATGCCCGTAGCGCGTGTCGCGCCCGTCCCGTCCTCTAGCGCCCGTCACGCTCGTCCCGTCCTCTAGCGCCCATCGCGCCCGTCCCGTCCCGTCCCCTCACGTTCGTCGTGCCTCCCTGCCCGTCCTGTCGCGTTGCACCCTGCCCGTCCCGTTGCGTCGTGCCCTGCCTGTCCCGTCCCGTCGCGTCTCCCTGCCCATTGCGTCGCGCCCTGCCCGTCCCGTCGCATCGCGCCTCGCCTGTCCCGTCCCGTCGCGTCGCCCCGTCCGTCCGCGCCCTGCGCCCTGCGCTCGTCCGTCCTGTCCGTCCCGTCCGTCCCATCCCCTCTGCCCTTCGCCCTGCGCCTGTCCGTCCCGTCCGTCCCTCCCGTCTGCCCGTCCCGTCCGTCCGCGCCCTGCGCCCGTCCGTCCGCACCTTGCACCCGTCTATCCGCACCCTGCGCCCTATCTGCCCGTCCGTGCGTGCCCTTAGCGCCTGGCCCATCCGTCCGCGCCCTCGATGTCATGCCCTAAACGCCCGCACACTGCCAGTCGTGCCCGCCCTGCTCAGGCTTTCTCAGCGGTTGGCAGCCGCATCTCCCCTTGCTAGTCTACTATGGCGGCCCCCAGACTTCTCCGCCTCGATGCCGAGGATAGACCGCTATAGTTTTTAGTATGGTTGCTAGTCTACTATGGCAGCCCTTCGTGCGCAACGCCTACTAGAGAGTCAGTGTCAGGCTGACGAGAACCTCTGGGCACACGCCTCTAGTGACCTCCCTGAGCCCCCTGCCCCAGATGTGCTAGGCGCTGACCCCACTGGTGCAGACAAGGAGCGCTTTGCCCGCGAGTGGGCTGCCATTACAGGGTGGATGTCTCGTGACGCAGCGGCCTGCATCGCCCTCAGCATCCTCCTCCCTGAGTCTGAAGAGGCGCACTTCACTCAGGTTCGCTCTGCATGAGAGTTCCTCACTGCGATTAAGGCCCGCTACTCAACTCCCACCATTGTCTCACTTGGTCGCATGTTCCTCTCGTTCCTATTTCCGGACATCGCCTCCTTTGAGCGCTCTTCTGACTTGATCACACACCTGCATTCGCTAGACTTGCGCTACCGCGCTGCCTGTACCGACGCACAGCTCGCACTGCTTCCCCCCCCTATGGCGATCACTATTTATTTTATCGCCACTAGCCTCCCTGACCGCCTTGCCACTGTTCGTGGCGCGCTTCTGCTGAAGCACCCTAGCGAGCTCACTATCGCCGTCCTTGATGCTGCACTCAAGGACGTCGAGAGCAACCTCCGCTCGGTAGCCTCTGCCTCTGGCGCTGTGCCCCACCCACTGTTCCACGGGTGCACTGTCCCACATCTGCCCACCTTCACTGCCTCCCTTGCCACTACCACTACTGATGAGACCGCGGCTGTTGTCACGACTTCTGCGCAGTCTAGAGTTAGGAGTGGCAGGAGGGGCGGCCAAGGTGCAGCCAGCAACGTAGGCGGTGGAGGTGGCGTGGCGAGTGGCGGTAGCGGGAGAGCAGGTCTTGGTGGAGCGCCTCGTGCAGCTTCTAGTGGCTTTCCTGCTGCAGTTGCCGGTGCAGGGGTGGCGGTCTGGTACCTGGCTCAGCAGCAGCCACAGCAGCAACAGCAGCCACAACAGCAGCAGGGGCAGCAGCAGGGTCAGAGGCACGGGTCAGGACTGCGTCAGCCTTCGCATGGTGACGCCCACCCACCCTGCCCCTACCACATCCAGACAGGTACTCACAGTGGCCTCCGCTGCGACCGCTGTCACCCACCGGGTCAGTGCTTTGCTCGGCTCGCTGACAGACTTCGCGCGGCCTAGGGGCGACGGGCGACAGGCCAGGGCCAGTGCCTAGGGGCGACGGGCGACGGGCCAGGGCCTAGGGGCGACAGGCGCGGGCCGGGGCTAGGGGCGTCGGGCGACGGGCTTGGGCTAGGGGCGACGGGCGCGGGCCTAGGGGCGACGGGCGACGGGCCGGGGCCTAGGGTCGAGAGGAGGGCCGCACAAGGGCGGCGCGCGAGGAAATAGGTACGGCACGAGGGTCGCAAGGGGCTGCTAGTGGGGCAGCGCTGTGGTGGGCCCAAGGAAAAAAAAAAAAAAACGGTCCTAGCGAAGGACCTGCTCTGAAACCATGTCAAAGTAATGTACTAACCCTAACTGGGTTGTACCCCTTAAGTAATGTCACAGGGTTACACCTTCAGCCTTGGTTCCGGCTCTGTTTCTTCGCGGTCTACCCGCTCGTCTTTGGTTCTCAGCTCCAGTTGTGAGGCTGAGATCTACGCCGGGGGCATGGCTGCTCAGGAGCTACGCTGGCTCACCTACGTGCTGACCGACTTGGGAGAGCGGCCTCGTTCGCCTCCAGTTCTGTACGTAGACACCAAGGCCATGATTGCCTTGTGTCAGGAGCACAGACTGGAGCACAGAACAAAGCACATCGCTGTGCGATACTTCCTTGCTCGAGAGTTGCAGCAGCGTGGCCAGCTTCGTCTTGCGTACGTGGCCACTCGGGGCAACACTGTTTATGTCTTCACCAAGGCACTTCCGCCTGGTGATCATCAGCGCTTTGTCACTCTGTTAGGCCTTGTGCCTGCTTTGCCTCACTTGCTTACTGCTTGACTCTACTTGTATTGTGATATATATATATACCTGCATGCTTGTACTTGCTAGGGTATGATCACTGTATTGCTTGTTCTCTTTATATAACTCTGCATGTGAACTGGCCTTGTGGCCCTTTGCTTGTGCTCGAACTGTGTGGTGACTTTGTGATCCACCCTGAGCTTGCTTTGCTTTTCTTGACTGGTCTTGTGTTGTGACCACTTGTTCTCCCCCACTTTGCCTATGGGGGTGTGTCATAACATTATAGCTTATATATTTGTGTAGGCTGTAGTGGGGTAGCCCATAAGGGGTACAACCCAATTAGGGTTAGTACTTGTACCCAACTGTTTCTTAGTTCATTCATTTCGTTCGTTACTTTCACAAATTATGGTAGCGAAACTCGCTTGTGCTATTTTGCGCAACATTTACCGTATCATCACTATGAAAGTTTTGGTTTCAAGGGAACTGAGTTAAAACACCAATGAAGTCAGGGGAAACAATCGCTATCTCGGTTTTTTTATAAGGGTTAAAAAAAATCATACACTTTTTGAGTAAAAAAAAACCGGTCCTTTTTTAGTTAGGGTTAAAAAAACTCATACACTTTTGAGTTATGGTTAAAACAAATCACAGATTAGGGTAAGAAATCTGGGAGGCTGACTGGGTCAGGGTAACCCAAAAAAAACGGCCGCCAGTTAGGGCAATCAGGATATTTTACCCTGACATTTTGGGGCTCGGCTGGTAATCTGTTGTCCGGTCCTCCGCCTCGACAATTCCCAACCTTGGTGCTAGGCCCGTCGCGAACCCCCATTTTTTCGCTCGTTACAATTACCACGCAATTTTCCTATTTAACATTAGCCCATGCCTTTGCTCACCGTATTGTTTTGCTCCAATAGTGCAATCTTAGTTCGCTCACTCAATTGCACTCATAACAGAAACCATCACTTTAGTTTCACAGCAAGTAATAGTTCTAGTTGAAACTGTTGAGGTTTCGTTTCGCGAGTACAACCAGATTTGTGATTTCGGCGATTGATTGTGCAATATTGATCATTCACCGCACTGGAAATCTGCTGCTGCTACAGAATAAACCGTTTTAAACCCTTTTAAAACACGATCCGCGTGGTGGGAGTGTCCGTGTCCTTAGGTCGAGACTGTTTCAGCGGTTTTACAGTCTCCTGTCCCGCTGCGCTCCAATTTCCAATAGCCTTTAGCTCTTTTTACCATCTGAGCCGCTATCCAGTTAGCTCGCGCCATGGCGGAGGTGAAAGTATCAGAGATTAAAGACCTGACGCGCGTCGAGCGAATCGGCGCGCACTCGCACATTCGCGGGCTGGGGTTAGACGACACATTAGAAGCGCGGGGCGTGTCGCAGGGGATGGTCGGGCAGGAAAAGGCTCGTCGGGCAGCTGGAATTATCCTGGCGATGATCAAGGAAGGAAAAATTGCAGGCCAGGGAATATTGTTAGCCGGGCAGCCCGGATCTGGGAAAACGGCGATCGCGATGGGGATGGCGAAAGCGCTCGGCGAGGAGACGCCTTTCGCGATGATGGCGGGCAGCGAAATATTTTCGCTCGAAATGTCGAAGACCGAAGCGCTCACCCAGGTGCTCGCTAGCCCGAGGCGCTCTTTGCGGGGGGACCGGGGGACGAGGGGGATGGGGACAGGAGGGGGGGGGGTTGGGGAAAGGTGTGGGGGATGGGAAGAAATATGTGAAGGGGAGGAGGAAGGTGCGGGGTCTGGGGTAGGGGTGCTGAATACAAAAGAGCCGTGCTAGGAGCGGATCGGCCATTAACGAGGATGATCTCCTCGCGATTCGTGTCCCTCCGCATTTCCTGCGCCATCTGATGCGCATTTCCCCTCCACCCGCCCCCTGCGCATCTCCCCGCAAGGATAGACGAGGCTTAGGGGCGTGATCAGGAATGAGGGTGCATCGGCCCTTAACAAGGACTATTTTCTTTGCTGTATCCGTCCATCTGCGTTCCCTGCGCCGTCGTATGCGCAACTCACCTCCACGCCATCCTCCCCTCAAACCCCCTCCATCCCTCCTTTAACCCCTTCTCATCCGCACTCCCCAAAACCGCAAACACTTTCCAAACCCCCGATCCCTCCCCCCCACTATAAACCCTGAGGGCTTGACCCGCGGTGCCCCATTGTTCTCCCCTAACCCATTCCCACGGATCTTCCTTTCTGCTCCCTCCCTTCCACCATACTCTCTCAAAACCCTGAAGCTCACCCTCACAACTACCAACATCGCAAGGCCATAGCCGTGCGATAAAGCTTTCCCTGACAGGCGTTTCGCAAAGCAACTGGTGTGCGAATTAAAGTTGAGACGGTTGAAGGCAAAGTGGTGGGGAATCAGATCGGCTGACGGTTCATCTCTCTTCCCCCTCTCCCTCCCTGCCTCTTTCCTCCCTCGCACTCCTTTCCTCATAACTCCAATTTCTCCCCCAACTCAGGCGTTTCGCAAGGCTATTGGAGTTCGGAACAAGGAGGGATTCGAGATGATCGAAGGCGAGGTGGTGGAAATATAAATCGACTGCTTCGCCACCGCCTCACCCGCACCCTCTCCCTCACCCTCTCCCTCTCCTCTCATGCCCCTGTCTATTTTCCCCAACACCAGGCGTTTCGCAAGGCAATAGGTGTGAGGATCAAGGAGGAGACAGAAATCATCGAAGGCGAGGTAGTCGAAATCCAAATCGACCGACCAGCCACGGCTGGCGCCGCTGCCAAAACGGGAAAGCTGACCCTCAAGACGACCGACATGGAAACAATCTACGAGCTCGGAGTGAAGATGATCGACTCTCTCGTGCGCGAAAAGGTCCAAAGCGGCGACGTGATAGCAATCGACAAGGCTACCGGGCGGGTGACCAAGCTCGGGAGGAGCTTCACGCGGTCTAGAGAGTACGATGCAGCCGGGCCGGCGACACGGTTTGTTCAGTGCCCGGATGGCGAGTTGCAGCGGCGCAAGGAGGTGGTGCATGTGGTGTCGCTGCACGAGGTGGATGTCATCAATAGCCGCACGCAGGGGTTCCTGGCGCTGTTCACAGGGGATACGGGGGAGATCCGGGCGGAGGTGCGGGAGCAGATCGACAGCAAGGTGCAGGAGTGGCGGGAGGAGGGCAAGGCTGAGATTGTACCGGGGGTGCTGTTTATTGACGAGGTGAGATTTGTGTGTCTCAGGCAGTGTGGGCGCTGTTGGTAACAGGCGGTGTAACAGGGGGTGATACTTGGGTGTAACTCAAGGGCTCTATTGATACGAAGGTGCAAAAGTGAAGAGACCCAGGGGACTCACATTCGTGTATCGCTGTTCATTGACGAGGTGAGGCTTGGGCGTATCTGTCGGTGTGGGCGTTGGTTGGTAGTCTGTGACTCTGTTCGCACAAATTCTGAGGTGCAGGAGACAAGCGGTCACAGGCACATGGGCACAAGTGGAGAGAGGAGGGCAAGGCGGAAGTGGTCCCTGGGATGCTGTTCATCCACGAGGTGAAAATAACCCAGAATTGTCCCACTGAGGAGGACAGGAGGTAGTGCATTGTGAGCCCTGCAAGGTCCGGGCTGGTCAGCAGGTGCAGGAGGTGTGAAAGTCACTTTTGAGAACTCGGAAAAAAGTGGAGAGAACCCCACCTGTCTCGGCCTATCCCCACGGCTCTCCACCCAGGTGCACATGCTGGACATCGAGTGCTTCTCCTTCCTCAACAGAGCCCTGGAAAACGAGATGGCGCCCATACTGGTGGTGGCGACCAATCGGGGCATCACCACGATCCGTGGAACCAACTACAAGGCGCCACATGGCATTCCGCTGGATTTTCTCGACCGCCTGCTTATCATCAGCACAGAGGTGAGCTGAGCAGGTGGAATCATCTTGTACGTGTGTGTGCTGTACTACCATTGTGTTTGCTCTCATAAGGTGCCACCACATGGTGTTCCGATGGATTTCCGTGATCGCTTGCTCATCATCAGCAGCACAGAGGTGAGGCAAGATGGTGGAATACTCGTGTGCTTAAAGGTGACGCACGTGCTTATATTGCGTCTGCACTCTTCTTGAGGTGCCACATGGCATTTCGCTGGACTTGCTCGACCGCCTGCTGGACTTGCTCTACCGCCTGCTCATCATCAGTGCCGAGGTGAGCTGAGCTGGCAGGAGGTGAGGCGAGCTTAGCACTTGTGATTCGAAGCGAAGGTCATCACCAGCAGCACCAAGACAGGTCGAGCTTGCACCGTTTTCAAATTTGAGAAACGATTTTGAAATCCGATGTTGAGAATCGAGTGTAACATAAGCCTAAGGAGCCTCTGGATCTCGAAAATTTACGAATTGAAGGCTCAGTATTTGGAAGTATCAAAGGTTGTCAAAAGCTTTGAGTCCAGTACGACTCGTTTGTACTGATCACTTTGTCTCACTTATCAAGCAGAGTGTAAACTAGGTTGTAGTAAGCCAAGTAAGCGCACTTTCAGTTCCCTCTGTTGCTGCTTCCTTTCTTCCACCTTCCCTTGCCTCTTGCAACAGTTCAGAAGCTTTCTCATATCAGCACTCTGAACCTCCTTCCCCACCCGGCCCATCCCAGCCGTACGAGGTAGAGGAGATCATTATACTCTAATGTCTGGAGGATACAGCAGACATGTCCCCTGACGCCCTGTGCTCCTCCTTCCTTCCTTTCCCCCCCCCACTTTTCCCCTCCCTGCTTTGCAGCCGTACAAGGAGAAGACAAAGGAGGACAGTAGACACGTCCCCTGACTCCCTGGGATCCTCGATTTCTTCCTCTTCCCGCCTCACTTCTTCACCTCCCGCCTCCCCCAACCGCACAGGGAGGAGGAGATGAAGGAAATAATCAAGATCAGATGCTTAGAGGAGGCAGTAGACACATCACCTGACCCCCAATTCCCCTCTCTTCCCTTCCTCCCGTCCTTCTCCCCACCCCACCCACACCTATCCTTACCATTCATTCCTGACCCATACGAGGAAGAATAATTCGAGGAGATAATCAAGATGCAATGCCTACAGGAGACAGTAGACACTTCCCCTGACGCCCTCGACCTGCTCTCCCTTTGCCCTCTCCTCGCCCCTCTTTCCCTTGTCCCTCAGCCATACAAAGAAGAGGAGATAAAAGAGATAATCAAGATCCGATGCCTAGAGGAGGCAGTAGACACGTCCCCTGATGCCCTCGACCTGCTCTCCAAAATCGGCGTCGAGACTTCCCTCCGATACGCCATCCACCTTATCACCTCGGCTCATCTGGCGGCCACTAGGAGACGAAAAGGGGGCAGCGGAGGGGGAGGGGGGGTGGTGGTGGAAGTGGAGGATGTGAGCAGGGTGTACACTCTCTTTGCGGACGTGAAACGGTCGACGCAGTTTCTTGTGGAGTATGGCGAGCAGTTTTTGTTTAATGAGCAAGACGCTGTCATGTCTGGATGATTCTGGTAAATATAAAATGGACTTGCGGATGAGTTCTTAAATGCAAATCATACCGTATTACCCCGGATAGAAGCGCACCTGCGCTTATAATAAAGCTGAGTTTTTTAGGGGGGTGCGCTTCTAATTGAGTCATTTTTATAAGCGCATGCGCTTATATAATGACATATACGAATTTATCAATTTAAGACACCAAATTGTATGTTTCACTCTTGCTATTTCAACCGAGTCGAAAATTTTCGCGTCACAATGCAGAATCTCCTGCAACCGATTCTCTTCCAGCACACAGGGGCCAAGATGTGCGACACTTTGCAGTCATGCTAGCACATCCTGACTGGACGCGCAGCCAGTCAGGTCTTCGAGAGTCCAACTCAGCGAAAATGAGATTGTACTCGCTTCAAAATTGAAACTCGCTACCGTTTCGAACAGAAATTTTAATTTAAAATTGTACATGCGCTTATAATAAATAACGTTTTCACAGGGGGTGCGCTTATAATTGAGGATCGTGTGAAGATTGAAACAGGAATGAATGAGCTAGGAAAGTGTGAGATACAAATATAAAACCTGTACCCCTTAGTGTCTACCCCACTACAGCCTACATAGGCTAAGGCATATACATCTGACACACCCCCATAGGCAAAGTGGGGGAGAACTAGGGGTCACAAGACCAGTCAAGCAAAGCAAAGCAAAGTAAGCTCAGGGTGGATCACAACGTCACCACACAGTCTGAGCACTGGTTCAAAGGCCACAAGGCCAGTTCACATGCAAGTTCATATATAAAGGTAAACAAGCAAGTGCAGGTATATATAGATCACAGTACAAGGAAAGTCAAGAGGTAAGCAAGTGAGGCCAAGTAGGCACAAGACCTAGCATAGTACAGAAGCGCTGATGATCACAAGGCTGAAGTGCCTTGGTAAAGATATCAGCAGTGTTGGCCTGAGAGGCCACGTAAGCAAGGCGCAGCTGACCACGCTGCTGCAGCTCACGAGCAAGGAAGTAGCGAAGAGCAATGTGCTTCGTTCTGTGCTCCAGTCTGTGCTCCCGACACAAGGCCAGCATAGCCTTGTTGTCTACGTACAGAACTGGAGGAGAACGAGGCGGCTCTCCTAGGTCAGTCAGCAAGTAGGTGAGCCAGCGTAACTCCTGTGCAGCCATGGCCCCTGCGTAGATCTCAGCCTCACAGCTGGAGCTGAGAACAGAAGACGAGCGAGTAGACCGCCACGAAACAGAGCCGGAACCAAGGCTGAAGGTGTAACCCTGTGACGACCGCTGAGTAGCCAGGTCGTCAACCCAAGACGCGTCTGCGTGACCAGTGAGGACCACTGGACTCCGCCCTCCAAGCACTAGCCCCAAGCCCGAAGTACTGCACAAGTAGCGCAACACCCTCTTCGCTGCAGCCATGTGCTCTGGTCGGTGTCTCCCAGGAGCAACATAGCGTGCCAAGATGCTCAGAGGGTATGCTAGGTCAGGTCGAGTGCAGGTCATCCGGTACATGAGGCAGCCAACAAGCTCTGGGTACGGGCCACTCGGCTCTACGGACTCATCCGAAGGCAGAGCTGAGAGCGAGTGGCGAGTAGACAGAGGAGTGGCCTGAGGCGAGGAGTACGTGAAGTCGAAGCGCTGAAGGACCTGCTGCACCATGTGTGACTGAGTCAGAGTAATGGTGCGCCGTGCTCTGTCCCGGGTGATCTGCAAGCCAAGATAGCTGCGCAGTTCACCCAGGTCTGTGCACGTGTGTCTCTTCTGCAGCTCGGACTTCACGTGGGCGAGTCCAGCAGTGTCAGCTGTAGCAAACACCAAGTCGTCGACGTACACGAGGATGTAGAACGGCGGCAGCAAAGTGTCGGTGCGAAGAAACAGCGACGGGTCAGCAGTGGAAGGAGCAAACCCAAGAGCCGCAAGCGTAGTCCTCAGTGTGTCGTGCCACTCACGTGGCGCCTGGCGGAGACCGTAGACTGGCCACCGGAGGCTCCACTGGGTACCAGGAGGAAACGACCCAGTGAAGCCAGGTGGGCGGCGCAGCCAGATCTCCTCGTGCAGACTGCCCTGTAGGAAAGCAGTGCTGAAGTCAAGGGAGTGAAGCTCGTAGTCACGCTGAGCAGCAACGTGCAGCAGAACCCGAAGAGTGGTCATCTTCGGGGTCGGGGAGAAGGTCTGAAAGTAGTCAACTCCCTGCCGCTGACTGAAGCCTCGAGCCACGTAACGCGCCTTGAAGACAGGCGGAGAACCCGGCGGCCGCTTCACCCTGAAAATCCACATGCCACTGACGATGTTCGCCCCAGGTGGGGGAACCTCGTCGACGTAGGTGCCTGTGGACTTCCAGGAAGCCATCTCTGCGTCCATGGCTGCCTGCCACTGAGAGGAGTAAGGACCCTCTATCGCCTCTGCGTAAGAGCGCGGGGTCGGGATGTCTGGTGCATCCGGGTCTCCCCCAGGGGCAAGCAGCGTGGACACGAGATGAGGTAAAGCAGCAGCAAAACACTGGAACTCCTCCTGTCGGTCCTCAAGGACGTCCGTGCTAAGAGCACACTCACCCCCGACGGACGGAGGACAGACAGACGCAGACGCAGACTCAGCAACAAGACTAGCGGCGTAGTCTAGACGACAGTGAGCAGCGAAGTCGACAAGCTCGGTAACTAAGGCAGACGCAGCAGTGGACTCAAAGGAAGGGTCAGTGACAACAGTGGCTAGGAAACGCGTGACAGTAGGACTGGCAGCACGAAGGGAGTCAGACGCTGGGTCAGCAAGAGCAGGAAGAGAGGACTCTAGAGGAGACGGCAAAGGGACATGCTGTGGCGCAGTGGAAGGACGCAGTGCCATCTGATGCGTGCCCGGGACTGCAGGAGGACACGGACGTGGAACACGACGATTAGTGCGAGCAGTGCGAACAGGCGACGCAGGACGCGACTCAGGCTCACGACGCTCAGCAAGACCTCCAGTAGGACCAGCGTAGGGAGAAGGAGCAGGCAGAGGGGAGACCAGCTAGAACTGTGACTCGGACTGGACAGGCGGAGGACACTCTAAGGAAGGAGCAGGACTAGGAGAAGGCGGAAGACCAAGAACCTGCTCAAGGAGCGGAACGAAGTACGGCCGCGGCCGCGCAGCACCTCCAGAACCAGCAGGGACAACACCAGTACCCCCAGCGTCAGCTCCAACTCTAGCAGCACCACCAGCTCCAGTACCTCCAGCAGCTCCAGCTCCAGCAGGACCACCAGCAGACACAGCCGCTCCGGCTCCAGTACCTCCAGTAGCACCCACTCCAGCAGCACCACCAGCTCTAGCTCCACCAGTAGCTCCAGCACCAGGAGCACCACCAGGCCCAGCAGCTCCAGTACCTCCAGTACGAGCACCTCCGGGACCCGTGGCTCCAGCACCCCCAGCAGAAGCAGAACCTCCAGTACCGGCTCCAGCAGCACCTCCAGCTCCAGAACCTCCAGCAGCAGCAGAACCTCCAGCACCGGCAGCACCTCCAGCTCCAGCAGCACGGCTCCAGCGGCGAGCAAACCACTCGCGCAGCTCCTGTGGAGAGGGAAGCTCCCGCCGGGACAAAGCACCCGAAGGACCGCCAGGTCCAGCACCGACAGGCTCCACACCCCCACTCCCAGCAGCCCCAGGCTCAGCACCCCCAGAAGCAGCACCCCCAGGCCCCGCACGCTCAGGCTCAGCACCCCCAGACCCAGCACCCCCAGGCTCCGCACGCTCAGGCTCAGCACCCCCAGACCCAGCACCCCCAGGCTCCGCACGCTCAGGCTCAGCACCCCCAGACGCACCAGAGTCAGCAGCTACCTCGACAGGCTCGACTGCATCTACCTGAGACACACCTGAGGGGGCAGGACCCTGAGGGGGGAGGGGGTCTACCGGGGGGGGACCGGGAGCGAGGAAGAGCGGCGGGGGGGGGAGGGGGGCAGTGCGGTAGGGGAAGAGACGGTAGTACGGAACCGACTCGTCAAACGTGACGTCCTGGGAGGACAGAACACGACGCGAGGTGGGGTGGTAAAACTGCCAACCAGGCGCGTCAGGGGGAAAGCCGAGGAAGACGCAAGGAACAGCACGGGAGGACAGCTTGTCCGCAGACAAGTCTCGGACGAAAGCTCGAGATCCCAGACACGGAACGCAGACGCATCACCAACCTTCCCCGTCCACCACAGAGTAGGGGAGGTCTCCGGCAGGGAGACCCGGGGCTGAAGGTTGATCTGATGCGCCGCGTACTGAACCGCGAACGGCCACAGAAAATGGGGAGCAGCCGCATGGATCATGGACGTACGAGCGACATCCATGACCATGCCAATGCGGCGCTCAGCAATCCCATTTTGCTGTGGAGAGGCCGGAAGCGTGAACGTCTGGCGGATGCCCTCCGCACGACAGAAGGCTCGCAGAAGGTCGGAGGAAAACTCTCCGCCTCTGTCGGAGTGCAGACGCAGAACAGGAAAGTCCGAGCCGAAACGCTCTCTGAGCTGGAGACGAGCAACGCGGATCCAGTCGATCAACACCTCAGTGACCTCACCCTTGCTGCGCAGGGGGAAGACAGTGGTGTAACGCGAGTAGTCGTCAACCACCAGCAGGAAGTAACGCTCGTGACCCTGTCCACGGACGCGGGCTGGGCCCCACACATCCATGTGATGAGTCTGCAGCGGAGCCTCTGTCGGGGGAAACTCGAAGGAGTGAGGAGCGGCGCGCTGCCGCCCCTCGACGCAGGGAACGCAGGTAGGGGCAGGCCCCGGGGGAAGGGGAGGGAGGGACCGGGGGAGACCAGAGACAAGGACACGGGAGGCCATGCCTCGGAGACGAGGCAAGGAGGGGTGACCAAGGCGGTGGTGCCAGAGGAGGGTCTGGTGGGACAGGAGGCGACACGAGCAGGGGGCAGACTCATGACCTGACCAAGACGCTGTAGCAAACACCTGACTCGACGCAGCTACCTGACCAGACGCAGCAACCGGAGGAGACTCTGTGGTCAGTGTGTACAGGCTCGACCCCGGTCGACGGGTAAACGAGGCCAAGTGGCGGCCCGTCTGAGCACACGTGCAGTGGGTCACTCGCTGACCTGCAGGAGTGAACTGGTCAACTCCGGCATCCTGAAGGTCAGCACCACTCACCAAGTTCGTGGAGAACGAGGGGAGGTAGAGACCAGACAGGGAGCCTGACGGGGCCGCCGGACACGGGAGGACAGTGGAGTAGCGAGCAAGGACAGGACCCCCAGAGGGGTCTGCCAGGGAGACCGCAACCGGCCGACTGAGCGGCGTAAGGGTGGTGCGGTCTCGAAAGAAGGAGCGGGAAGCACCCGAGTCGAGGGTGAAGGTGTGAAAGACCTGAGCCGACTCGGTACCTGAGAGAGCAGACTCACCAGCACCTAGAGCAGCAGACTCACGAGTACCTGGAGCAGCAGACTCACTAGCACCTAGAGCAGCAGCCTCAATACCAGGGTCAGGCAGAACACACACGTAACAGTCAGCCTCAGCACTAATAGACACAGCATACATGGCAGCAAGAATAGCATCAAAGTCAAGATCAAAGATAGCTACCCCCGACCTGAATAGATCTCCCCAAGGAGGGATCTCAGTGGCGTCCGGGAACTGGGCACGCCAGGCGTCCGTCAGGCGACCGAAGCAGCGCTGGGTGGCGTGCAGGCCGCCACACTGCTCTCCAGTGCGGTCACCGGTGCGCAGGACGTAAGTACAGGGACCAGCACCCCCAGACCCCTGGCGCCCCGCGTACCACTCACGAAGCTGCTGGGGCGAAGGGGTCTCACGAGAGCGCTGCTGCTGCTGGGGTCCCCGCTGCACAGCTCCGCCTCTGCCAGCTCCACCTTCGCCGCCGCCGCCTCCGCCTCCTCCACCCCTCCCGCCACCGCCACCGCCGCCTCCACCTCCACCGCCGCCACCGAAGCCCCCACCTCTACCACCACCTCCACCCCCACCCCCTCCTCCGCCTCCACCGCCACTACCGCCGCCCCCACCACCTCCTCCAGCTCCCTTGCCCCGCTTGCCCTTGCTGATGCGGCGCCTCTCACTAGGAGCAGACGCAGCGCTGACCGACTCGGTGCCAACAAGGTCGACAGCAGCAGCAGAGGCAACAGAGGGCAAAAGAGGAACAGGGGAGCACCCCTCAAAGAAAGGGGTACGGGGGTCACCACGAGAGGCGCCTACAGCGGTGATACTAGTCTCTGCTGCAAGGAGGCGCTCCTCGAGGAGGTCGACAGTGAGGGTGGTAGGGCAAAGAGAGAGGAAGTGGTCCCTGACCGAGCGGAGAGTGTCAGGGAGTCGAGTGACTAGGTAGTAGAGGGTGATGTACATGGGGGGGGGGTTCTGGGCGCAGAACTCAGCAGGAAGCGCAGCGCGGTAGCGAGTGTCACTAGTGCGGAGGTGCGTAATGAGGTCAGTGACTGTGGCAAAAGCAGCGAGGTCAGGGAAAAGGTACGGTAGCATGAGGCGGCTAAGCGCAGCAGTGGCAGGGGAAGAGTAACGTGCAACTACTGCGTCGTACAGAGTCTTAGCACTCTTGTACTGACTAAAGTGCGCGCGCTCAGTAGACGGTAGGTGACTACGCACAGCAAGGCGGGCAGTAGCATCGCGCGTGAGCCACTGCGAGCGAACGGTACTGTCAGCATCAGCAGCAGGGGCAGTAGAGGCGCCCGACGTAAGATCAAACAGGGACCCGGGAAAATTCTCCCCCGGATTTTCTTCCCCGTGTATTTTTCCCGCCTTCGCACGATGCCTTGACACATCCGAACGTCCGCAACGCACCAACCAAACCCTTCAGGTTCCTCGCTGGTCTGGTTGGGAGCAGGTAGGGCAAGGCAACACTATCGTCCTGAGCGAGGCATTCACTGGTAGGTGCGCGTCTCTCTGATGTTGAGCCTCCAACTCTCTGTTCCAGGCCTTGCTAAAAGTGCTACCCTGAACATCTGTTTATTTGCCCTGACCGGTCAGGATTAATTTCTGCTGAAGCCCTGAAACTACAGGATGCCTTTGAAAAATTTCCCTGACAAATCAGGGCATTTTTTAAGATTTTGACGAGTTGCCCTGAGGCCTTAGGATGCCCCAAATCCTAGCACAGGCCCTGAATATGAGAGTTAATATAAAATGACAAACGTGAATAAAACAGAGAAATGGAAATGTTCGTGTAGGATCAAAAGAGGAAATTGGAACATCATAGCTAGCCATGTTCCCCTGTTTAATACGTACATGATTGCGACCTGGAATTCCATCATTTGAGTTATAGCCATTTTATGAATAAAAGCTTTCTTTGTCTGCACAAACAGGGGTTCACTAAATGGGGATTTACATCGACACAGTATGCCTCTCGATTCCCCCTTGCTCGCCCTGCCAATCCCAGCCTCACCCGCTGAAACCCTTCACCTCCATGCTTGCCCGCTGCTTTCCGCGTCGTTCGCCCGCCATTCTCCGCGCGCTGGAAGCCTGCGCCGTCCTTGCACCATCCGCGCGGAAAGCCGCATTCGCCATGCCGCCTGCCGCGTGTGCAGCAGGGCCGGCAATGTCCCTCTCGTCGCTATCTGCGCGGTTCACCGCGTCCGTCGCAGCCGCTCCGGCCTTCCGTTGCCAACTGGTTTCCCCTCCATGCTGTCCGTCTTCGGCGCGCTCGGCCCACCTTCCGCGCGTCGACGCGCGCACGGCCGCCTCGCCCTGCAGCTTGTCGAGTTCCGCGGCGAGAGCGCAGCGCCCCCATGGGGGGAGAGCTCGCGCGCACGCGGTGTCGGTGGCGGAGGCGCAGACAGCGGAAGGCGTGTGGGATGAGGGCAGGCAGGTGAGACGAGGCTGTGGGATGTTGGCAGGCAGGTGAGACGAGGCTGTGGGATGAGGGCAGGCAGGTGAGACAATGCTGTGAGATGAGGGCAGGCAGGTGAGACGAGGCTGTGGGATGAGGGCAGGCAGGTGAGACAATGCTGTGGGATGAGGGCAGGCAGGTGAGACAATGCTGTGGGATGAGGGCAGGCAGGTGAGACAATGCTGTGGGATGAGGGCAGGCAGGTGAGACAAGGCTGTGGGATGAGGGCAGGCAGGTGAGACAATGCTGTGGGATGAGGGCAGGCAGGTGAGACAAGGCTGTGGGATGAGGGCAGGCAGGTGAGACAATGCTGTGGGATGAGGGCAGGCAGGTGAGCTGACTTTGGTGTGTATTCTTGCCGTTTCTTTGCCCTGTGTAGCAAATCATGAAGCGATCCACGTCATTCATGAAGCGATCCACGTCAGACGGCGCGGCGACCTTCCACGTCAGCAAACGTAGAGCCGTCACGACCAGCGCCGCGGGGGAGGCGGTGGGGGAGACCGCGGGGGCGCCGGGCGCGCGGAGCAAGGGGGATGCGGGGCGGGGCGGGCCGTGGATGCTGGTGGGGCTGGGCAATCCGGGGATGAAATACGAGGGCACGCGACACAATGTACGTTGCCGCTGGGCGCGCATGGGACTGGCCTGTGAGAAATCTAAGAACCAGATTTTGAAAGGGGGAGAGGGGGAGAAGGGGCCTGGGAAGGGAGGAGGGGGAAAGGTGTGCCTCAGATTTCGTATTTGTGCTATCTAAGGATCCGAATCGTTCTTGTGGCGGCTCGAAAACATGTCTTTATGTTGACAAAATAAGGGGTAGGGGAAGGGAAGGGAAAGGGGGTAACGGAGCACATGAACGTTCAGAGTTTGGGATTCAAGGTTTGGGGTTCGAGGTTTGGGGTTTTGGGGTGTGGTTAGTGTGACCAGCCCACTCACAGCGCGCCGACTCTGTCCGCCCGCTGCAACATTCTCGGCCAAACTCCAACAATCGCATCAGCAAAGAGCGCGTTTTCCTCAGCTTCCCACATGCACTCGATTCGATTTGCTCCTCCTCTGCCCTTCAAACGAGGTGACTTTTGAGTCGACTCAAAGGTCATTCTCCCACATACACTCTATTCGCTCTTCCTCTGCCCTTCCACCCCCTGCCGCCCTCTCCTGCCGCCCCCACTAGATAAGCTTCAAGCCTCTTCCTTCCCCCTTCCCCACAAACCCTTTTCTCTCTCCCGTGCCCTTCTCACCAGGTAGGCTTTCAGTCTATCTCCTCCCCATGCTCTTCCCCACCCCTCCTCTTCCTCCCCCTACCCGTCTCCTCTTCCTCCCCCTCCTCCTCCCACCCCCCTCTCTCCTGCTTTCCTTCCCCACCAAGTGGGCTTCGAGGTGATAGATGTCATAGCCAGGGCGGAGGGCATAGCTCTGAGTTTTTGAGAATTCTCAAAAACCAGCTCTGAGCGCCATGCAGAGCAGGGCTGTGGAGGGAGGGAGGGCAAGGGGCGCATTGTGTATCCCATTGCTGCTGACCTCTTCCTCCCGTTTCCCCCTCTCTCCTTCTCACCTCCCCACCAGGTGGGCTTCGAGGTGATGGACGCCACAACCAGGGCGGAGGGTATAAGCCTGAGCGCCATGCAGAGCAGGGCGATGGTGGGCAAGGGGGTGCCTCTCTCCTCAGCTTTTGAGGCGCCTAAAAAATTGCGGGATAAGAGGCGACTTTTGAGGCGCCTAAAAAATTGCGGGAGAAGAGACTACTTTTGAGGCGCCTCAAAAGAGCAGGGCGATGGTGGGAAAGGGGATGCCTCTCTCCTCTGCCTCCCACTATCCCTCTCCTCTTCCACTGCCTACAACCCATCCCCTCCCGGCCCTTTCCTGCCTCCCATCCCACCAGGTGGGCTTCGAGGTTATAGACACCATAGCCAGGCCGGAGGGTATAAGCTTGAGAGCCATGCAGAGTAAACCAGTCGCGGACAAGGGACGCATTTCATTCCCCTCACCTCCTTCTTCCCTTACCCCTCCTCCAGTCCCCCTCCCTCTCCTGCCTGCCTCCCATCCCACCAGGTGGGCTTCGAGGTGATAGACGCCGTAGCCAGAGCGGAGGGTATAAGCCTGAGTGCCATGCAGAGCAAAGCAGTGGTGGGCAAGGGGCGAATTGCTGCGTGCCCTGTGCTGCTGGTGAAGCCGCAGACGTTCATGAACCTCAGTGGGGAGAGTGTGAGTGAAAAAGGGGGTGGTAAGTAGGGCGGTTTGATGGTACCTGCTCGGTGGAAGCTCAAATTGCTTCTAGTGAATCCACAGGCGTTCATGCACCTCAGTGGGGAGAGTGTGAATGGTGGGGGGTGGGAATGAGAGGGCGGGGGGTACGAGGGCGATAGTTACCAGCATATCCCTGAGTGCCGTGCAGAGCAGGGCAGTGGTGGGCAAGGGACGCATTGCCGGGTGCCCTGTGCTGCTGGTGAAGCCACAGACGTTCATGAACCTCAGTGGGGAGAGCGTGAGTGATAAGGGGGGTGGGTGGGAAGGTGGTGGGGGTTTTGATGATACCTGATCGATAGTGGGGCCTCAAAGTGCTGCTGGTGAAGCCCCAGCCAGGCGTTAATGAACCTGAGCGGGGAGAGTGTGAGTGGACAAGGGGAGACCGGGTGGTGGGGTAAGAGAAGGGTTGAGAAACGGTCTCTGATAATGAAGGCCTAAAATGCTGCTGGTGAAGCTGCAGACGTTCATGAACCTGAGCGGGTAAAGCGTGAGTGGCTATGATGGGGAGAGTGAGTGGGAAAAGAGGGAAGGCGAATGGGGGGTGGAGGGGCAGGGGAGCGAATGGTAAGACTCAAGTGCTGCGGTGAAGCCCCAGACGTTCATGAACCTCAGTGGGGAGAGAGTGAGTGGCTATGATGGATGGAGAGAAGGTGCGGGTGAAGGGGTGGGGAGGGAAGAGGAAAAAGGGGATGAGGCAAGAGGACGATAAGAGAAAATCAAAGTGCTGTTGGTGAATCCTCAGTCGCTCGTGAACCTGAGCGACACTCCATACCACAGCACCCCATATCACCGTACCCCATACCACCGCACCCCACACCACTGTACCCCACACCACCGCACCACATTGCAGGTGGGTCCCTTGGCTCGATTCTACAAGATTCACCACATTCTACAAGAGTCATAGCTGTAAGTCATGGCTGTAAGTCATGGCCATTCTATTTCACAGCCTGCCCTGTTGTGCCCTGCAATGCCATGCACTTCACTTCTGTGCCATACCATTCCATACCATTCCATGCCATTCCATGCCATTCCATACCATTCCATGCCATTCCATGCCGTACCATGGCATCCCATGCCGTACCATGCCAAGCCATCTTCGACTCATTTACCCTACCTGCTCTGTGATGATTCCCCTTCATCACCATTCCCACCACCACCCGAAAAGTAGTCGACTAGAAACTCCTAAGTCCTTAAGGTCATGGATGGATCTGAACTCGTTAATAGAGCGAACATTTCTGCCATCCCGTCGCTTTTGAGACGTCTCAAAAGCCGCCTTAAGGACATGGATGGATGTGGGCCTTTTAATCAAGCAAGCATTTCTACCATCCCTTCACTCAGATCTACGATGACATGGACCTGGACGTAGCTTCCATGAAGCTTCTTGCCAAAGGGGGGCATGGGGGACACAACGGGTGAGTTCAGGCAGGAGAAGGAAGGAGGTCAGCCGTTGTGAGAAGGAGGTCAGCTGTTGTGAGAGGTGGCACTGAAAGGATGAGAGCACTCACTCGACTCGTGCACTTTGTACCTCGGCCCGCTCCTTTTGGTGACGTCTCCAAGTGGCGTTTACTGAAAAGGCCCGCCCCTTTTGTTGACAGTGTTTTGAAACGTCTCCAAGCCTTTCTGCACCTGCATCACTAAAAGGATAGAGAGCAGTAACCATCTGCCTGCCTTGCAGTTCTCGTTGTTTTTATCGTCTCGTCACCATCAACATCACCATCAACATCACCATCATTCCATGATGCCTTCTCCGTGACATCTCTCCCCATCCCCAAAATGCCATAAGAGAGAAATTTCAATTATGCCCTTTCCTTTTGCTTGTGGACGTCTCATGCGTACTCCCACCCACGTGTCACTTCTGAGACATTTCAAGAATAAAGTCTCCTTTTATCAACAAGCATACTCCCACCTACCTGTTTCCATGAATTCTCCTTTCATCGTCCCTCTGACCATTCCCAATTCGCCATGCCCCATCTTCCCATGCCTCACTCCCTCATGATTTCCCCGTGCCCCATTTCCTCACTCCCTTCCCATCCATGCCCCACTACCCAATGCCACATCCCCCTTCCCAGCATGAAGAGCATAATGCAGCACTTTCAGGGCTCTAGAAACTTTCCACGTCTGAGATTCGGTCAGTGGCAAAACTGATTCTGTCAGTGGCAATTTTGATTTGGTCAGTGGAGGAATCAGATTTGGTCAGTTGCTCCTCTGTTGCCATGCTGACCTGCTGTTGCCATGCTGACCTGCTGTTGCCATGCTGACCTGCTGTTGCCAAGCTGACCTGCTGTTGCCATGCTGACCTGCTGTTGCCATGCTGACCTGCTGTTGCCATGCTGAACTGCTGTTGCCATGCTGACCTGCTGTTGCCATGCTGACCTGCTGTTGCCATGCTGACCTGCTGTTGCCGCATGACCTGCTCTGTGCACGTGTTTAGCTATGGCTACCTACTGATTTAACTAAGCGCCTACAGCTTTCCACTCCTTAACTGGTTGTCAAACGTGCAACATGTGCAACATGTTTGTGTGATGGAATGGTGATGTCAAGCTGATGTCATCAGTGCATGCAGGCATCCGAAGGTCGCCAGGACGGATGGAGGCCAGGCCAAGGTGTATGTGCTGCAGCGGTTGGCAGTCGGAGAGATTCTAGATTGAGTTGATCCCTCCATGTGGTTTGCATGCAGGCACTGGGAGGCCCCCAGGACGTATGGAGGCCAAGGTGTGTGCTGCCGCAGTTGTCAGTCAGACAGGGAGAGTTTTCCGAGTCAAATTAAACACCAGTTCATTCCCTCCATGTGGTTTGCATGCAGGCATTGGGAGGCCACCAGGATGCATGGAGGCCAAGGTGTATGTGCTGCAGAAGTTTTCAGATAGGGAGAGAGAAGAGGTGAGAGGAGCAGGTGGTGTGTGCGTCGAGCGTTGAAGCGTTTCTACTTTGTCTTCCGGCTTGTAAAAAAACAGACCCCAAAGTGTATGTGCAGCAGTGAATCTCGCACAGGGAGAGGGAGGGAGGAGGCCAGTTAGTGAGAATGTGTGCATGTGTATGAATTTTGAGTCGACTCAAAAGGCACCTCATGAGGGAGGGAGGAGGTGAGACTGTGAAAATATGCAGTTTTGAAATGTATGGTTTTCTGAGAGATAACAGGAAGCTGTGATACAAGTTGAAACTAACTTGCCTATTTCATAATATGAGACGGTTTCCTTTTTATGCATATGCAAACCCATTTGTGGTCTGTGACCCGTGACACAGGTGGATGTGGCTATAGAGAGGGGAAATCATGATTGACGGAAATCATGCTCCGACAAATTTCGGGAATGAAGGGGGGGGAGGGGGGGGGGGGTGCCCTGTGGTAATCTTCGCTAAAAGTGAATCATAGGCCCTGCTCAGCACTGTTAGTCTAGCAAGAATTGAGATGACAACATCCCTGCAAGAAGCACACAAATATCTTAGACAACACACCATTCTCGTCCAACTATGGCAACGGGCTTCATTACAATTGCAGTAATACAACATTCTCGTCCAACTATGGATGGATTATACAGATATACAACTAGGGTGGGTGGGTGGGGAGTGGAACTGCAAAGTTCCGAAATGAAGTCGTGGGTGGAGGCCGAATGGCCTCCAACCCTCGTTATGTACTCGGTGAATTGTAATTCGCCATTGCTTTGCTTCGTGACAGTCAGCTGCGCTTTCAAAATACGCATTTTTAGAAAGTGTTACACACTTTCGAAAAATTTCATATTGAGAAAGCTTGCTTTCTGTTCTTGCAAAGGCAACGGGCTTCATTACAATTGGGTCTTCTGAGACATGTGCAGTTGGGGTGTTGAAGACGTGGCGAGTGTAGTTGCGATTGATGGCCTTGACGAAGTGCCGAGAGAGGTGGCGTTGGTAATCGCGATCTCTATGTCGATGGCGTTCGAAATGTTGTGTGTGCGAAGGTTGCGTTCTGTTAGTGTAGATGTGCGTGTTTGTTGATGCAGCAGAATAGTGGTTGCAATTGGTGGTTCCCAACCAAGGTCTACACACCCAATGGACGGTACAACTTTTATCTTGGGATTTACCATGTGCTCTGCTGTACTCTACGCTTCCAACCGTTTGAGGTTCGGGGCTATCTACAACGTGGATGTATGGGCTGAGTTGGTAGTAGCGGGAGGGTGTGTCCGTCATTTTGGTTAAATAGGTACTCTTTTTTTATTTTTATTTTTTTCACACACGAATTCCATCTTTAACTCCCAACACCTAAAGCCCATTCAAGTTCTTAACGAGACGCAACTTGTGGTAGCATGCTAGTCGCAACTCCCGTGCTTTTATTTCCATCTCGGGTGCGATCTAAGAGAGTGGGATGAGCATGATGGAAACCAATCCCTTTCTCATTGCCCTTATTTGGAGAGAACATTGAATGCGATGTAGGAGTGTGTGTGAACAACCGTAGTCAAGTCAGATTCAAAATCCATCTTGAGTTGCACTCTACCAACCATTTGTAACCAGGTCACTCCAAACAATTGCTTCCCTGGAAATTGATGGGGCACCAACCAACCTTTGTTTGTCAAAAAATGTTTGAGCCCCCTTTTTTTTTTTTTTTTTTTTTTTTTTGAACTCTTATCATATACGGTTACATCAATAGCCAAGGATGATCCATACTAGCACACACATTGTTCGAAATTCAGCCCATCTTACGGCAAGCCCAACATGGGGACCCTCGGTCCCGACGGCTCTCAGGCCACACGGGGACCCTCGGTCCCCTTCCCCCCCTGGGGGGCGGCTCTCAGGCCACACGGGGACCCTCGGTCCCCTTCCCCCCCTGGGGGACGGCTCTCAGGCCACACGGGGACCCTCGGTCCCCTTCCCCCCCTGGGGGACGGCTCTCAGGCCACACGGGGACCCTCGGTCCCCTTCCCCCCCTGGGGGACGGCTCTCAGGCCACACGGGGACCCTCGGTCCCCTTCCCCCCCCTGAGGGACGGCTCTCAGGCCACACGGGGACCCTCGGTCCCCTTCCCCCCCTAGGGGACGGCTCTCAGGCCACACGGGGACCCTCGGTCCCCTTCCCCCCCTGGGGGACGGCTCTCAGGCCACACGGGGACCCTCGGTCCCCTTCCCCCCTTGGGGGACGGCTCTCAGGCCACACGGGGACCCTCGGTCCCCTTCCCCCCCTGGGGGACGGCTCTCAGGCCACACGGGGACCCTCGGTCCCCTTCCCCCGGTCCCCTTCCCCCCCTGGGGGACGGCTCTCAGGCCACACGGGGACCCTCGGTCCCCTTCCCCCCTGGGGGACGGCTCTCAGGCCACACGGGGACCCTCGGTCCCCTTCCCCCCCTGGGGGACGGCTCTCAGGCCACACGGGGACCCTCGGTCCCCTTCCCCCCCTGGGGGACGGCTCTCAGGCCACACGGGGACCCTCGGTCCCCTTCCCCCCCTGGGGGACGGCTCTCAGGCCACACGGGGACCCTCGGTCCCCTTCCCCCCCTGGGGGACGGCTCTCAGGCCACACGGGGACCCTCGGTCCCCTTCCCCCCCTGGGGGACGGCTCTCAGGCCACACGGGGACCCTCGGTCCCCTTCCCCCCCTGGGGGACGGCTCTCAGGCCACACGGGGACCCTCGGTCCCCTTCCCCCCCTGGGGGACGGCTCTCAGGCCACACGGGGACCCTCGGTCCCCTTCCCCCCCTGGGGGACGGCTCTCAGGCCACACGGGGACCCTCGGTCCCCTTCCCCCCCTGGGGGACGGCTCTCAGGCCACACGGGGACCCTCGGTCCCCTTCCCCCCCTGGGGGACGGCTCTCAGGCCACACGGGGACCCTCGGTCCCCTTCCCCCCCTGGGGGACGGCTCTCAGGCCACACGGGGACCCTCGGTCCCCTTCCCCCCCTGGGGGACGGCTCTCAGGCCACACGGGGAGACCCTCTGTCCGCTCTTTTTATTGGGAGACGTCCTTGGGTGCGCGTGCAGTTTGATCCTGTAGTCCATGTAATTTCCCCGCGCGACTAGTAGAGACTTTTATAAAAGTCTTTCCACCACTGTAGTGTTGGGCCTGATTTTCTGCCACCAAGGGATAAGAGGAGCTTTTAGATTAATAGAAAATAAACGAAGAGGACATAACGAAAATAAAACTGAAAGAAAATGACTTGCAGCACTTAGGCAACAAATGACGCCCAGTCAAACGACTAAGGCGCTGCAGTGGCAATTTCGTCACTGCCGCGCCAGCGGCCATTTCGTCCATGGCGCGCTAGTGGCGATTTCGCCACTGGCGCACGTGGCAATTTCGCCATATGCGCGCGTGTGGCGATTTCGTCCCTGGCGCGCGCCACTTGCGCCAGTGGCGATTTCGTCCCACTCGCCTGCCACTGGCGCCAGTGGCGATTTCGTCCCTAGCGCGAGCCACTGGCGCCAGTGGCAATTTCGTCACTAGTGCGTGCCACTGGCGATTTCGTCTTTGGCGCGCCTGTTGGCGTTTCGTCCGGCGCACTTCGCTCTCAGTTGAGCGCCCGCTAAGTACAGTCGCACGCGTGATATTGTTGCCCTTCATGAAAATCGATCGCTTGTAGGTGAGTCGTAGTAAGTAGTTCTAGTGACAGAGGAAACTTTCGAGGTGGTTGGACGAGAATGAGTGGAACTGCAAAGTTCCGAAATAAAGTCGTGGGTGGAGGCCGAATGGCCTCCAACCCTCGTTATGTACTCGGCGAATTGTAATTCGCCATTGCTTTGCTTCGTGACAGTCAGCTGCGCTTTCAAAATACGCATTTTTAGAAAGTGTTACACAATTTCGAAAAATTTCATATTTCATAATATGAGACGGTTTCCTTTTTATGCATATGCAAACCCATTTGTGGTCTGTGACCCGTGACACAGGTGGATGTGGCTATAGAGAAGGCATTTGATGCAGTCCGGTTGGTGGCAGCAGAGGGAATGGATAAGGCTGTCAGCACGTGGAATCTGCCGCGCCGGTCGTCCGCCAACACCAAGGCCTAGCATGGGCATGCATGCATGCATGCATAGCATACCGTCCATAAGTTGTATTTGATCCTTGGAATCCCTAGCCAAATATGAGACCATAAAACAAGTATCATGGTCCCGAAATTTTTCGGAGCATGATTTCCGCCAATCACGCAAGTACCGTATCACCCCGGATGGTAGCGC